GACACGGCTTGGAGCTTACCAGTGGCGAGTTACATGGTGATCATCATGGGTGTACAGTTCTATGAGGGCAAGGAGCATCGTTACATCGACTACCCAGTCATGGACGTTCTCCAAATGATGGGCCGCGCTTGTCGGCCAATGGAAGATGAGCGCAGTCGATGTGTTCTCATGTGCCAGCAAACACGGAAGGACTTCTGCAAGAAGTTCCTTGCCGAAGGGCTTCCAATCGAGTCACATCTCCCGACCCATCTCCTTCATGACTACTTCCTCGCGGAGATCGCAGTCAAAACCATCGAGAACAAGCAAGATGCTATGGTAAGCGACTCCCGATCATGTTTCTTCATTGCGTTTACGTTCTATCCCTCAGGATATTCTTACTTTGACTTACTTCTACCGCCGAATGACTCAAAACCCAAACTATTATAATCTGCACAATGTCAGCCATCAGCATCTGTCCGACCACCTTTCAGAACTTGTTGAGAACACTTTGAGTGATCTCGTGAATTCAAAGTGTATCGCAATTGGTAGGTTTCTTCCCTTTTTTCCTGCTAATGTGTCTGAACCTTTCTTCAGAGGACGAAATGGACATGTCGGCGCTCAATCTTGGAATGATCTCTGCCTATTACAATATCTCTTGTGAGTGCCTATCACTTGGAAGTCACCCAATGGCTTATCCGCTTCTTAGATGTGACGGTCGAGGTGTACACATTGTCTCTCAAGGAGCGTACAAAGTTGAAAGGCCTTCTCGAGGTTGTATCATCATCGGCCGAATTTGAAACTATCCCGATCCGGAGACACGAAGATGCTCTTCTTCGTCGTATCTACGACCGCGTCCCAGTCAAACTAGAGCGGGCCGACTTCGAGGCTCCCCACTTCAAAACGTTTCTGCTCCTTCAAGCTCACTTCTCACGGTTGCAATTGCCGCCTGATCTGACTGCTGACCAGGTTCTGGTCCTGGAGAAAGTACTCAATCTTTTGTCGGCCAGCGTCGATGTGATGTCGTCTAGCGCTTGGTTAAGCGCTCTGGGTGCGATGGATCTATCCCAGATGTGTGTACAAGCCATGTGGGAGACAGATTCGCCTCTGAAACAGATCCCTCACTTTGAGACTGAGGTAAGTAAACTCACGCTGTAAGAGAGTCATTCGCTCACAAGTCATCGTCGCTTCAGGTAATCAAGCGATGTAAGGACGCTGGTGTCGACTCCGTCTATGACATCATGGAGCTCGAGGACGATCGTAGAAACGAGTTGCTGCAGATGACGCCCGCCCAAATGTAAGAATCACAAACTTTTCCCTACGATCGAATCTCACATCATTTCAGGCGAGATGTCGCAACCTTTGTCAACTCCTACCCCACCCTGGATATCTCTCACGAGCTCGTCAAAGGAGAATACACCGCAGGCGCGCCAATCATCCTCCAGGTATCGCTGGCACGTGACGCAGACGATGAGGATGATGGTGACCAAAACGTTGTTGCACCATTCTATCCTCTCAAGAAGTTGGCGAATTGGTGGCTCGTTGTCGGAGATCCTGCCTCCCGCCAGCTCCTCGTCATCAAGCGAGTCACGGTGACGAAGAGCCTTGCCGTCAAGCTTGAGTTCACGTTGCCGAAGGGCAATCACTCACTGAAGCTCTACGTCATTTGTGATTCTTACGTTGGTGCTGACCACGACATTGGTCTCGAACCCATTGAGGTGCTTGAAGGAGAGGATAGCGACAGCGATGAGGATATGGGTAGCGATGAGGACGAGTAGACTTCGGGGCTTATGCATTATGATCTGTGTATTTGTATCTTTTTTGTAGTTGCTCAGTAATTTCTTGATGTTTTCGTTGAGAACGGAGCTGATCATTGTTTCATAATGCGCCATCCGTTCTCGGTATTCATTGTATAGAGGTTGTTCACGAAAATAGTCAACACCGGTTATGGGAACCTCCCCTTCGAGGGCACTTGTTAACGCAGCGTGGAGGGTTATGTGATAGAGTACGAAGAAGAACAGTTGAAAGATTACATTGATAAGACTATACATTTACGTGGTGGGACATGAAATTAGATTACACGTTGTAGATCGTTCAGTTGGAGAGCGTGAAGAGAGGAGGTATCAATATTGTTGTTCCGTAGAGATTCCAAGACCGACTTCAGAGCCTTGAACTGGTTCACCTTGTCCTTTTTCTACAACTTTGGAATCAGAAAAACCGAAATGGAGAGCTGCTGAACGAGAACTCGCCTGGTACGTAACCACGCGACCCGACGTACTCGACACAGCGTAGAAGAGGGTTTCCTTGGGGCATGCTGTCAAAGAACCCAATTACCATCCATCAATCGTCAAGACTGAACGGATTTCCTTGCCTTGTTCACCTTGATACTGAAGCTTGTAAGGCTGGATTCCGATAGCCGCCTTCGTCTTTCGGCCCTTTCCAGCCTGTTGACGAGTAAGTAACGGGGGCTAGGACGAAGCCAATCTCACAATTACCTGAATCACTTTAGATTTGACGACATCCGCGATTCCCAGCCCGACAAAGCATACAATCTTGGGGCGGTGTGTGGCGATCTTGGCGAGGAGAGCAGGAACTCTCGCTATTTGCTCGGCTTTGGATAGCTCGCTTTGCTACGGATGATGAGATCGGTCGGTGACTGGGAACTTTGCATGAGAGGTACCGATACCTCAGCTGTTGGACGATCAACCAGATTCGTCTATGAAGGTGTGAGTACCCGTGCCGCGCTTAATAAAAGGAGAGAAGGCGTACCATCCCGATCGAGAACTGTTCTGGGAGAATGAAGTCTTCTTGACGACGGAGAAGTCGTGTAGTGAAGCCTGATTCGTACAGGCAGCTCCAGAAGTGGTTTGTTGGACCACCAAAGTGGTGCCCTATCTCAGCGGACGTCTGACCTGGGCTGAGAACGATCATTAGCGTGTCAAGAGTGGCAGTCCGACGAACTCACTTGATACCACAAAAAACTACTGAAAGAGTGTGTGAGGAGTTGGTTCGGAATT